TGCAGATCATCAACAACACATGCAACATTATTTGGACAATTCCGGTGCTGGTCATCATTCCATGAATGTTGGTGGTCAATCCAACAATACAATTTCCTCCACTGCAAGTCATTATGTATTTGGTGGTGGAAGTAGTCAAGCTACTTCTACACTTCAACCTCTTCCAAATACCTCATCCTTGTTGAGTGGTGCAAGTGGAAACCAGCATGTTGTAGGAAACAATCAACATACAAATAATGGTCAATCTTCTACAACCTCAATACAAATACAATTACAGCAACTACAACAATATCAACAACAAAGATATGGTACTAATAATACAACTCAACAATTGCCTTCCATGAATGCCTACCCATCTCAGCAAAATCAAGAAGATGACCAGTTGGCTGATTGGATGAATGAACAACCTTCTAGAATGTTGCAACAACAAGAACTTCCTCCATTTGAGAATGATTTTGGATTTGATGGATGGTTCCAATCTGAGGAGAATCTTAATAATGTTCTATCTCAACAATTGACTAATGGTTACTTCCAGAACTCAATGATGGGTAACTTGAACAACCAAGGTGCACAAGATATGGACAACTACCAATCAAGACAAATGGGACTCGGTTCCAACTTTAACCTTAATTCTGTGTCAGGTAATTTAATGCAAAATGGTCAACCAAATTTTGTAATGGACGATCCAAACTTTAATGTCTGGGGTGATGCTGGAGATTTAGATTTGGATGAAGGATTACTGAACAAACACCAAGGTAATCCACTCTTTGGCGGTACTCAACTCTTTACCAATCATACAATGTCGACAACTGAATCTAAGGGCGTGACTAGTATAACAGCATTGGCAAATAGTTTGAATTTCAGTGAATCTCCTCAAATGAAAAAGACAAGGAAATCGAAGAAGACCAACAACTTAACAGAACACTATCAACAAAATGGCTTTGATGAATCTTATGAACAAAACATTTTAGATATGGACAATGAAAGCTTTAAGAATTATGTTAACGGTTTGTATGGTGAAAAGGGAAAGAAGAAGAATAAGACTCAAATTCCATTCAATGAAGAAGACTTTTCAAAACTACTCCTAGCCAAGGAAAGAATTACAGAACTGTACCACCAATGCCAGCAGGACAACATGAGTCTAGTCAACTCAGTGATGAGTCAATACACACCATCCATGGAGATGGATGATTCTTTAAGTAACGAAATGAAAGAACTCTATGCCAAGGTTAACGCCAAACTGGACTATAAGAACACTGAGAATAAGAACCACTGTGAACAAGTGCTCAAGAAACTCATCTATGAATGGGTTGACATGGTTAAGGCTCAAAAAACAGTGGTCAGTTCAGACAAGACTAGTAATGATTCTTCCAACAAATCGAGCAAAAAATCAAAGAGTGCCAACAGAAGACTTCCTAATGAAGCTAAGAAAGTTTTAGAAAATTGGTTCTTGGAACACTACAAGCATCCTTACCCAACCAATGAAGAAAAACAATGGCTAAGTGATCAAACTCAACTCAACCTCACTCAAATCAATAACTGGTTTATTAACAAGAGAGGGCGATCTCTCAAATTGGTGAAGGAAAAATTAAGGACTGAAACTGATGATGGAGAAGAAGAATAAATCAAAACTAAAATTTACATTGTAACAATCCTTCTATTCCGATAATTTCTGGAAATTAAATTAAAAAAAAATGAGCATAACGGAACCATTGATTGTTGATCGTATTTTAAAGTATTGTCATCATTCTGATTGGAAGGTGGTCAAGCCATTTCTTATAAGCAAACAATTTCATGAGGTGTTTAACAATTTTACTTTTGCCAAGGATTATTTGATCAATTTATTCCAACTATCGGAATATCAAATTAATCTCCTAAGTGAAGCAATTACCTATTTTTCATCACAACAATCTGGTAGTGCTGAAACAGACAATGGATGTAAAAAACCAAAGAAGAAAAAGAGGAAAACAATTAAATTTGAAAAGTATGAAAATGTTGATCAGGTTTATATGGGAATTTTAGAACTTTATGTAAAATGTAATTTGAAAAATCAAGATAGTGAAGTTAGAAGAGCAAATAAGAGGCTGCAGAAGAATTTTAGTAACATGTTGGGTGAATGGAAGATGGACAGATTTAATTTCACAGCTGATTTGAATGATATGATCTCCAATCACAAGGGAATTTTCATGACTGAGTTTGAGATTTCGAGTCCTGGCTTCTACAGTTACGGAGGTATCACTCAACGCTCAGAGTTTGTGTTATTCACTCATTGTGGGTTTCCTCTAACTTTCAGAAATCAGTACTCAACTTATTTAGAACTAGATCATTGCTGTTGTGATGTTACGGAAATTTGTGGTTTCAGAAATATTTGTAACAAGCGGTTTGATAGAGGAGGTGAAGAAGAATTGTTTCGTCATGCACTCTCATACTCTGGGCACAATGGGACTCAAAATATGGGCACACAATTTTCTGAAAGAGCTTTTAATGGAATATTAATGACATTATTCCATCATGCTGAAAATTACTTTGGAGGTTATGATTCACAAGAAGGTTTCGAACAGGAGAAAATACTGGGAACAATGCTATACGAAATTTTAAATTGCTCACTTGTTGCCTCAGATAATGGTAAGAGCTTCTTTGCTGAGAAATTTCAAGAGGAGGATGACTTTGAAGGTTTACCTTTTTACTCTAGGAACCGTTACTGATATTCATAGTACTATTCAGATGTTCCTTTTTTACACCATTGTGTTTTCAATTAATTGGAATAAAGTTAAAATTTGAAAATCTGATGGGCTCCAAACACGTTCACAATGTTGATATTCCTGTGGCTGATTTAATATGAAGGAAGTCGTTGTTTTTAAAAAGACAAAAGACTACAGCACCACAGGTTCCCAAGTTGTCTCCAACCTCAGTACTGATGTGGCTCGACGATGCTTAACTTCTCAAATCGGACGGGATGAGGTGCATTCATCGTGATATGGCCGTAGCCATTAAATTCCTTAATATCTGAATTATAAATATATTATCTATACTAAATTGAACGTTTTCAGACCTCAAGTTGTTAATTCAGTTCTCCAGTCTGGACGTTTGATTGCTGATGCATGTGAATCATTCGCCGAACATTGTATTGATGGATTCAAGCTAACGAACCAAAGATTAAGGAATATGTCCAAAACTCCTTAATGTTGGTAACTGCCTTGAACACAATTATTGGGAATGCAAAGAAGGCCTACCAAGAAAATATCAGCTTGAAGCAAGCTTGTTTGGACCTCAATTTTCTTACCAATTATTCCTTTCATTAAAAGTTATCAGGTTTCTAATTTGTTTGATAAGAAATTTTATCAATTCTAATAAGTTTCTTTCCAATAATTTATTATTCAATTTACCAACAACGTTACTCTTTAAAACTGGACTACCTTAATGCATCGAAAGTAAAATGTTGTCAGATTTATAAAAACGAAGGAAATTGAATTGAGTTTCTGGAGGCTAAAAAACAGATACCGACAATGGGGCTCGAACCCACGACCCCAGGATTAGAAGTCCTGTGCTCTATCCAACTGAGCTATGACGGCTTCACATTGAAATACATTAAGGGTGGATGGCTCACTAAATACAATTAGTCGGCTGGGAGAATAGAATGATCGGAATGAATGGTAATGCATACTTGGAGAAATGGTTACCATAGCGAATCATTTGACAAGGTGCAAAATTCATTTTTCTGATTCAGGACCAACTTCAATCACACGATAGGAGTAATGGACACTGTTTAAACTCTTGGAAGTAAGGGTTAGCTTTTCAGGGATCAAACTAGAGTCACAATAATACCTATAAAAATCGTTGGCTATTTTTATTAAGGTTAAATAAATAAATTTAAAATTGTGGAAGGAGAGTATTAACTGGATGTTAATACTTCATCTCCATGTGGACGAATCCAATAAAAATACAATAATGGTTTTTTTCCGAATTGAGCAGTTTTATTAGATTTCAATCATTGCAATTATAGTATTTATCATAGTCATAATCATAATAAAAATCATCAGAATAATCTTCTTCATAGTGCTCAAGAATTGGTTGTTCCCATTTCTTTCGATCTTCCAAAAAAGTACTCATGTAATAGTACTCGTTACTGAAATATAGAGCTGTGGATGGTTTTTCAATAATGAATGAACAAACTAAGTTGAACGTATCTCCACACAACTGAACAAGAGGATGTCCACGAAGAATTGGATTGGCATTTGGTTCTTTTCCCTTTTCCCTTATTAGGAATGCAGGTTTCACATCTTTCCATGTTTGTTCCTTTCTTTTCTGTTGATAACATTTCTTGAACTCTTCTTTCACTTCATTGCTCTTCACTCTATTTTCCAAATCCTTGAAATCTATTGCACCTAGAAACTGACATTTTGAATACAGAGCTTTGATTATTTCCACTTTTGGATTTTCAACACAATGATGCATCAAATCATCACAATTCAAACCATATATTGCTGTTTTGAACAACATTTTGAACATTTCCACATTTCCAAGCTCTACAGCTACATAAATGGCTCTCAACTTATTCACATTTCTCTGTTGTGTCTGAAGTAACCATTTCAATAGTTGAACTTTTCCACTTTTGACCGATTTTGTAAGTGGATCTTCTTTACAATCATCAACAACGTATCTCATTCTCTGTTTCTGATTGCAATTGCGATAGAGAAATTTGGCAATTTCCAAATTTCCACTCTCACACGCAGCAAGGAATGGTGTCTTCTTTCGGTTGTCCTTTGTTAGAAGTTGTGAGCCAGCATGGAATAAACATTGAACAATTTCCAAGTGGGTTTTACATTTGCATGCATGAATTAATGGAGTGGAGCCATCTTTTGTTCTCACACTCATTAGGTTTCTATTGGAGGAGGAGATTCGTTTAACTTCCTCACATTGATTGTTTGATATGCATTCAATCAATTCATTAAATTGTTCTAAAGACATTTTTTGCACCATGACTATGTTAGTTGACTTTGTCGAATGACATTTAACAACTATTGTGACTTCCCAACACCAACTAATTTTAACTTGTGAATTCAAAGCAAATAAATTATGAAAATTAACAAGCCAACTGTTGAAGTGTCTTTTACAACTCATAATCTCAATATTTATTAAATTGCATTTAGTTAATAATGTTATATTTCCAGGTGTTTGTTCACAAAGAACAAAACCAAGTAAGGTGTGAATCAACATTAAGCAAAAACCAATGAATTTAAAAAAAAATTTAAAATTATAAAATGAAAAACAAAATGATTGGAATGTATCAAATATCGCACACAACCAGCGATTTTTGATATCTCTTCGCTAAGAGAACCTTTCAAAGAGTTGTACTGGAGGAAAGCAGTGAGAGGTTTTTTTACGCGGTGGAATATTTAGATTGGTTAAAAAACCAGCCTCGGCAAGTGAGCACAACGCTCGTGGATTTTCTCATCAATTTATTATTTATTTCTGGATACAGCAAGAATGAAATGTCTAGCATTCAATAATGGCTTGTTATTGTTGTTGGTCATTATGATGATGATGACAACAATTTCAACAATTAGAAGTGAAGTTACTTGTTTCAACAAGAGGAAAATTACTATGAAGTTTAAATCATCAGCGATGGGACAAACGTGTGATGGAGAGGCTGCATGCTTTTCTAAACAAAATACCAGATTGGAAACTAATTTTGATGTTCCTAAAGACCCTTGGACAGATTTTGATCTATCTAAATACTATGTTTTAGCTACGTCTGGCTCATTGAGAGCAACTGTTAGTAGTGTTTTTAATCCTTGTCTTTCTGATTCTTCAAATTTGAATTCAACTTCTTCATTTAGTATCAATGGTCAACCTGTTTATATTGGTAGAAAGAATTTAGGTAAAGACTTTGTTACTTACAAATGTATCAGTAGAGGAAGTTGTAGTGAAACTTTTTCAGCTACTTCCAGTGATGAGGAATATCCATATTCTGGGTTTTTAAATTTGACATCTTCTGGAAATACAGCTGTTTTGGAATATAGTGATCCATCAACAGATCTTTGTGTGTATAGTTTGGATTTTACCTTTTGCTATATGTCAAAGAATTACATTATATATGATTTAAGATTGCAAGTAGATGATATCACAACAAAACCTCTCAAAATTATTTCTCCAAAAACCATGGAAAGTCTTAAACAGGATGTTCTCATACCTCAATCATATGACCCTCTGCAAAATGGATATTCTGACAAGTTTACTAGAAAGATTAAAATTACAAACAAGTTAATTGTGCAGACAGGTCTTAACTTATTTAATTTGAAAATCTTTCCAAATAACGCCAATTTTAAAGATCCACTAGTTGTTGATATTATTTCAATTACTAAGGAAAAGACAATTGACGGAAGTATAATCAGCCAAGATATTTCTGGAAAGTACCAAATTTCAAACAGATCACTTTCTGATTACAATATCAAATTTAACACATCCCTCTCTGTGGATGAAATAATTACTGTTCAATTAACCCTTGGTGTCAACGGCGAAATTACATCATCAGTTTATGACATGAACATGAATTACAGAATTGAAACGATAGACGAGAATACCTATAATTTACAAGATACCACAATAATGGATGGTGTCTATTATTTCAGAAGATCAGATATTACTGCTACCTATGATACAAACCAAAAGATAGCTGCAAAGAGTTTAGTTTCTGACATGGTCTCTCTTGAGTATGTAAGCGAATCTGAAGAGGATGGAAAATGTTACCTACAAGTTAATACATTGTATGGCTCTTCTTCAGATAAATTTTCTGGACTCTTATTTATTTATTCCAGTAAAACTGGAAAACAATATTCCATGAAATTTGGACAAGATTATACACTCGATAAGAGTACCAAACAGATTGGTCAGTATATAATTCCACCTGAATTACTCGATTGCTCATCTGTTGGAGTTAAAACTAATATTTATTTTAAATGGGTGGTTCTCTCTTCAAATTCATATACAACAACTGAACCATCTGCCAACTTCCAAATTGCTATTTCCAAGAAGAGTATTATCTTTGTCAATGATCTTGCCAATGCCAACATAGAACTTACCTTTTCTCAACGGTATGAGAGCAATGTAATTCTCCTAAAGTCAAATCCACCAAATATGATTGTTCCTTACGATGTTATACTTAAAAACTCGTATTCATCATCTGCATCACCATTTGCTTCATACTTGTCCTATTCAGTGCCTCTCTCATGGTTAGATAATAGCCCAATGAACTTGAATCCTGTTAGTTATCCACAATTATCTACAGACTTTTCTGCCAGTGAAATCTATTTGAAAACAGGAATGTATTTCGGATTTATAGAAAAAAGTTGTAGTGTTCTTCCATGTAAAAGTTCAATTAACTTCCAGCTTAACAGTCAATTGGCTAATCCTCAATCTATTGCTGTAGATACAACCATCAAAGTTTCTCAATCAGGATACAGATCAAGTGGATATATAACAGCTGTTTCAATCCCTTCCTCTTTAGCTAGAGCAGCTAGCTCGTCAAAATTTAATTTAAGAGTACTAGCTGAAGTGAAAGAGACATATTATAATTCCTACTCAACCAAAAATCCGTATTATTTGCAAGTGAGTAAGGGATCTGTTGGAATGACTCAAAATCCACCTTACAATTCAACTTTTGGGCAACAAATAGCCTCCCAAAACTACTTGACCACTGATAAGTGTGCTTCCACCTCATCGACTGGTTATTTAACAGTTAATATTCCGATTCGTGATGAAAGTGACTATGGAACTTGGTACATAGCCTTTTTTGTAGATCCTAATTCTTCCTTTGATGTGAAATATACCATTAATTTGATGAGTAACATAATCCCATTGAAATTGTCTACTACTTCTTCAAAGGCAGCTCTTACCTACACTCCAATTTCTTCAGTAATATATGGTTTGCAGTTCAGTTCAGAAACAAATTCTGACTCATCATTACTACTAACATTCGATGGATATAGTTTGGAAACAAATTCATTTGAAGGAAGTGGTATTCAAGTATTTTTAAAACATGGGTCTATGCCCACAGAGAACGATTATGATGTATTATCTCCAGTGTTAACTGGAAGTCTTTCATTCATTGCTCGCTTCGTATATTCAGACAAAGTTACTTTCAGATATTTGATGGATAATTCATATTATTCTGATCCAGCAGAAAGGATTAAATACCCAGAGGATTATTACAAGACTTCCATACTTTCAAATTCAAAACTTGATTCCAGCACCCTCTATGTATTGATAAAGAGAGTTCCATCAGGACAAGGCTATACGAATTGTGTTAGTAGCTCTTATATTGTTTCCCCAAGTTCTTCCTATATTGCTTACCAGTACAGTTCATCTCCTTCAGTTGTTGGAGGATATCTAGAGAAAATGAAATCACAAGTTATCAGTGTGAATCCAGATGTAATAGGTGCAAACCTTGCAATTTCCAATGGTAATCAACTAATGATTGACTTTAATCAAGAAACAATAATTCCTAATTACGCATCCAAACCAACCATTGTTAGTTACGATGGAAAGAAATTAGAAATTCTTGTTGATCAAAATTCCACAATTAATTCTGACTCTATTTCAGTATCTGCCTATACGTTTAAATATTATATTTGGGGGAAATCAGGCCAAACACCAACAGTATCTTTTAGATATTCTATTAATGCCAAACTAAGTGTTGATGAGAAATCTGGAAAATACTCTCAACAAGTATTCATCGTTTTCCCAGTTAAGAGTGGATATGTTACTCAAGACTCTCCGTATGACACAATTGTTAGAATTAACAGTAGATATCAACCATCAACATACCTTATTGAAAGTCTCACACCATCTATTATTGCCACAGCCATTGTGGTTGGTATTAGTTTCATTATGAGTTGCATTTATTTTGTTTGGTCTGTTTTTATTGTTGTCGTAAAGAGAGGAGAATTTAATTTTGGAACAGTAAGTCCTCAAATGTGGCTTGGCTGTTTGTGTCCAGCTTCTCTACCAGTTTCTATCTGTTATTTCTACTACTTTGCTCACGAAGGTTTTCAGCAAAAGCTTGCATCACCACCTGTAAAAAGAAGAAGAAGGACTAGAATTTTAATTGCCCTCTCTATTATTTCATTCACTATTGGAGTTCTATTTGGATTATATTTGTATGGACATGTGGCATTTAATCATCTTGGATTAGAATTATCAGCTCATTTCAATTTATATACTTTGGGAAAACGTACCACTGATTCTACCTATTCTTCATCGAACCTTATTCCTTGTTGTGCCCAAACTAGAACAGGTACATCCAAAGATAAGCAATTCAGGACATACTTTGGGGTTGAATCAAGTACCTTTACACCAAAATTTTCAGGGGGAAGATTGGATTGTATTAAGGACCTTGATAGTATTGTTAGAGATGCCTTGAGAAGTAAATTCGTTTTGGATGAAATTAATGGACAAAAATATGAACCACCAACTGATAGCGCCATCCAAAAGACAAGCTATGGCTATTCAAATGCCTTTCAGATGGCTACAGTTTATTGTGTAGGAAACTCAGTTGTACTAATGAAAGCAGACGATTCCTATAACGAATATGGTATTCCAGGAGCATTCCTTTCTGTTTTCCCAATACTTTATTCATTCTATTTAATTATCCTTGTAATATTCGAAAAGATATTTGGTGATGGAAGAAAGTTGAGTGAATCAAATAATGACCAAATTGGAAGAACAACTTTACTATTAGGCAACAATACTGGCTATGAACCAAATACTAATGAAGCCTCTTACAATCCAAACATTCAAAGTACTGAACAATAAATATTCATATATCAGAAGAATAAAATCATATATTCGAAGGAGTTCAATACTTGGTAATGTTAATTATTGAAATTGAAAACTCCAAATATGTACAATAATAATTCAGTAAGGGTTCTCTCTTCTTCAGTTTGAAATAAGAAGGGTAGATAAATTTTAGGTGTTCAATGCTCATATTAGTAGGAATGAGCAACGAATGATGACATTTTAAAATTTCTGTCAAGTTTCAAGAATAATAAAAAATGACAACTCCAGCCTTGGAGACATTATCAGTGTTAGAAAACACCGAATCAGCAGAACCCTCACCACAAACCACAGAAACTACCAATGACATCCCAACTCAACCACAAACTATCCCATCAACTGAAACTATTCCTTCCCAATCTTCATCTCTCGAAATGAATAATAATGCACAAGCAGATGAAAATGATGACGATGAAGATGATGATGAATCCACCAGTACAACCACCTCCTCATCCACCACTTTAACTTCCCCAAGAAATGATCCATCACAACCTTCGTTATCCTCATCACACCATTCTAATAATAATATTCAGAAGGCTCTCCCAACTAATACCTATCGTTTGAGTAGGGACATTAGACAAACCATTACCAATTCAAAGCAACGTAGTCAATCTCTACTCAATAACAACAACATCAATAATACCCAGAGTGGAATTACGAGAGCAAGTGCTTCTTCATCATCCTCTTCTTCGAGTGGCGCCAATTTTTCTGACTCGACAACTACAAAAAATGTAAAACATAGCGCGGAGAATGATTACAAGTATTATGAGAGTGGTAGTAGTGTTGGTGTATCATCATCATCGTTGGAGGATGGAAAGAATGATGATTTGAGGACTCTGATGAGTACTCATATTGTTAATTTGGTTAATGGTGATTCCAATTCTGATGATATTGTGAATCATACTAATAATAATAACAATAATAATGGTGAACAATTGTGTAGGACATTGGAAATTGAAATTGAAAAATCCAAGACTGTCAATAAGTTTTTCATTGAGAATAGAGATGATAGTGCCATCAAGGATTTATTCTCTCAAAATTGTTTGCATTTGTATAATGGAGAGTTTACAGTGTTGAAACATAATGAGAAGGATTATGTTGAGGCTCAACAGGAAAATGTTGCTAACAATGTAAGTTTTCATTCGGAATAGTTGTATCCGATACAGATGATGTTTCTTAACTTTCAATTTGTAGACTAAATGTTTAATGTATCACGAACAAGGAAAGGATATTATGGATTTGGCAACAAAGAGGATTACTTTCCACCCAAATGATTTTATAGAGGAGTAAGTGTTGTAATATTGAATATTTAAAAACTAAACATAATTGGAAATATAGTCAATTGAATCTATTGACAAAGATTTATAGATTCCGATTGGAAGCAGGTGAATTGGAGCCTTATTTCTTATCGCTTGAACTTGTCAATGCTAAAACAAGAGCTAAAATCAGTGAAAGATTTTACTTCCACATGACATCTCATCAGCTCATCAATAGTTTTTATGATGAATTGGATGTTAAGAAACAATTACAAAAACAATTGGACCACCAACCAAAAGCATTGTTTTCTCTATCACATTTCTTGAAGGGAGAACCTTTGTCTGATGTTTATGCAGTTGTTTTTGTATTTAAAACATTACAAGGAGTTTCTACTGATCAAACACTCAAACAATATCAAGCAGGAAAGAAAAATCATACACTCACAAGGGATACACAATCCGAATGTCTTTCAGGTTCACAAACCTTTGATGATTTCCAAGGACTTAAATATCACAAGGAACCTTTCTTATTTTCATTCTGTCCTGTCAAGGAAAGTGGTATTCATGCTATGAGATACTTTTTACCTGTGGAAAGTTTGTTCCAACTCATGAGTAGCAGTGAATCTGATGTTACAGAAGGAAGTGTTGGAACAAAGAAATTATCACACATTGATGCAGTGTGTGAAATTATCTCACAACAATCAGAGACGTTACTTCACTTTTACACACCTCACAATGTTCATGAACGTAGTGAGTTAAAAGAGCAATTAGTTGCAGAAAGTGAACTTGCAAAGAAGAATATCAAAAAGTACAAGCCAGTTCCTGGTTATTTAGTTTTTGAAACTTACAAATTTAATCCAAAGAAATTTGAATCAGATCCAGTGGAAAGAGTTTTACTCTTTGGATCTGAACAAGAAAAACCAATGTTTACTACCAGTTCAGCAATTTCACTCGAAGAAGTAATAATCAAAATCCAACATAGAAATGGTAGTATTTTGAATCCTAGAGATCTAACTCAAGAAAAGGAACTGAAAAAATGTTTGGCAGCCTCTGATTCTATCAGTTATCAAAATTACAAGATAGAAGAACTCCATGAAAAGCTTCCAAAATTCCCTCATTTTGATTTCTCACACTTGTTATATATTTCCCCACTAACTCTAAATTTGGAGAAATTCAAGATTGATTCACTTTCGTGTTTGGATGCTGATCCAGCTCTTTTGGAAACACTTGCAATTAAGAAATTCAAACCAAAGAACGTTCTGGTAAAAGTAGAATATAGAGAATCTATCAAAAAGACAGCCCAAAGAATTATATCTCCACATGGACAATCACTTGTATCTGAAATTTACTGTAATGTATTATTCGATGAAGAAAAGATGGTTCGATTCCTAGATGAAATCAAAATTGCCTTACCACTTCCAATGGAAAAAGAAAACCACTTGGTCATTTCATTCTATCATTTAGTTATCGAAAAACAAGGTCCAAAGAGAAAAAAGACCCTAGATAGCAATGGAAATGTGCCAAAGATTTGTTTTGGTTATGCCGTTCTCCCTATCAAGGACATTGTTGAAAATCACTGCTCCAAGATGACAGATTTTACATACACTTACACATTACCTATCTATCAAAAATTGAGTGGAGATTATCTTTCAGATTCTAAACGTTTGAGTATTAGTGCATCTGCTAATATTGGATCAATGTCTCAAAAACGATACGATATTAAGAAGGTTTCCTTTGTTTGTAACACGAGAATTGTTTCAACTATTTACCCTAACGAAAAACTTCTCCTTCAATTCTTTGCCGATTGTGCTCCTTTTATTAGTATCACAAAGGAAGGTTCTGACTCGAAAGAATTGTCTAGAGCGGTTAAAGACTGTAGAAAATCAATTGAGAATCTTACAAAAGTTCCATTCTCTAAATTAGTAAGCCATTTCACACTCATCATGGATATGTTGCTTAGTGTAATGTGTCGTATTCCAGATGTGATTCACACTTTTGTGAGCGAATCTGAACAACAAGAACAGTCTGCACTCTTTGGTGATACTTCACATGGTTTGAGTTTGACTGGTTCTAGTGGCGAAGATGAAATGCTTAAATCAATTAGTGCCAGATTTGGACTTGCAGAAAGTACTTCTCCTGTTTCTAACTCTGCTTCACTGGAACACAAATCTCTCAGCTCAATCCTTGCAGCTAAAAGAAAATCTGTTACTAACAGTGTTACCAATAGCACCTCCTCATCTTCACAACATCTCAGTTTTACTACTCCTAATAATCCTTCTTCTGCTACTACTCCTTCAAGTCCAGGCTCTTCTGGTGAATTGAAAAAGAGATTCTCCCTCAAGAATATTCTCAAGAGAAAATCAAAGGAAGTTGAACCAACTCCAACTGCTTTGCACACTGCACCAACAAATGCAAAGAAAATTGCTCAACCAGGTGAAGAGGGTTTCAATTTAATAGAATATCTTAAAGCTCAACAAGAACAACAAGAACAAACTCAACACACACCAGAAGTTGCAATCCCTTCAAAGGAAGACAAATCAAAGAATGAAAAAATCAAGAGAAGAATGTCTCTCACTGATAGATTATTCAATAGAAACAAATCTCTTGATCAATCCAGTGAAGAAAGTAATACATCTCCAGTTGCTGAGGCAAACAATTCATCTTCAGGTGCTGTAAGAAAGAGTATTACCTTCACTGCTTCTAATACAGACTCTCGTGGAAGTCAATCTGATTTTGGTGATTTCCTTGGTGTTACAGCAACTTTGTTCGAATTACAGAAAACCGTTTTCCAAGTTATTGT